ATTAACAATTTGAGTTGGAGAGTGTTGCTTATCACTAATCAGCGATGCCTTAACTGGATATGAATGCTACTGACTACTGAAAATCACTAGTAAGGCGAACGGGAAGTATCGAGGAATTTTTCCTTTTTCATTCCAAGAGTCTCCATTTGTATTGAATAATCCGCTAAGCACTGATGGGGTGGATTTTTTCTGTAAGAACAGAGAATCCGCAGTAACTCAATTTTAATACTCCAACGCAATTCGAGGCTTTCTGTAGAGAGCTTCATCAGCCTGAATAAAATAATTATGCTAACCGATAACCACCGTAGACGTTCAAAAATCCCATCTGTGTTATATCCTCTACATTGTCACTATTTTTGTTCTAGTTGGCTTACGTCAAAGACTGGACTAGAGTATATAGAGACTAGAATAGAGTATATAAATAAAAGTTTAGGGTTGATAAAAGTTCAGAAGCCATACTACAAAGGCGAAAGTCTCTGAACTTAACGTCTCATGACGAGATTTGTGGATTGAACTATTGATAAAGTCATAGGTTTTCTTTTGAATCTGAATCAAAAAATCCCAAGTAAAGAACAATTTCGTTTTGTACTCCAAGTATTTCACTATATTCTTTAATATCGGTATTGAGCCTCATTTAACATTATTTTTGTTGAAATTAGAATAATGCCTGTTCCACAAAAAAATAAGTGGTTTTGAAGAAAATTTCGTGAGGGAATATAAAATGAATTATATGAAAATATGGTGCTAAGATGTCTTAGATAGGTATTACATCACGTCGTAGTGCATTATCTATTTACTATTTGAAATGGTAAAAAATGGTGTGTTAATCAATGAAAGTAACGGTATTGAAATATTTCAAAAAACTTTACAGGGTGCTGACCTCAGAGTAATAATAAGACATAGAGTTGCCATGCCTATACCAATACAATACATGTATGTTGAAGCGGGTACTATCCTTTTCTCTACAATTTATGGGCGAGGGGGGGTGGCGGGTAATGAGGGGTTATGGAGAGTTTGTTTACATTTGAAGTTGGACCATAAAACATTGGCGGTGGGTTTAGTTGATAATCGGAGGAATAGTATATATTTATAAAATAAATCATTTCAGGTGAAAATGTATTCTGTTCAAATAGTTCCTACAGGAAATCTGATTTATTATTAATGATTATGGAAATG